ATCCTGGGCCCGCCAGAGATCATTTACCAGAGTGACCAATGCTGTTTCCGTGCTGTGCCCATGCCAGAACCCCGATTGGTACGGGTCTAGGAAATCCGTTTCCTCCAGGAACTGTGGGAGCTGTTGCGCCACCATGGACTCAACAACCTTCGCAATAAAGTGAAGTTGGAGACCGGCCGGTAGTTATTAAGTGAGTCTGGATCCAAGGCCGGCTTCTTGAGGAGGGGTTGAACCACCGCCTCCTTAAGGGAGGCGGGGACGACCCCCTCCCTCAGAGAAGTATTGACAATAGCCTGGATCCAGTCTCCAGTCACCTCCCGGGCAGCTGAAACAAGCCAGGAGGGACACGGATCCAGCAAGCATGTGGAGGCATCCAGTCTACCCACAATCCTGTCCACTTCATCCACGGAAACAGGGTCAAACTCAACCCAGATACTACTCCCAAGACTTGCCCCAGTCTCCTGGATGGATTCTGCCCAGTCAGAGTCCAGACCGATCTGGATCGGAGCGATTTTATCTTGCAGAAACTGAACAAAATCCTCAGATCTGCCCTGTAAGGGATTTTCCCTCACTCCCTGACTGAGGAGAGAGCGGGTCACTCTAAACAGGGCTGCTGGACGATTTTCTGCAGATGTAATGAGAGCGGCGAAATGATGTGGCTTCCATTGCCACAAGATAAGACCTAATATAGGTTCTTAACTGTGTTCGATCAGATTCAGATCGGGAGGACCTCCAACACTCCTCTAGGCGTCTTTTCCGATGCTTCATTTCCCAGAGCTCGGTGGAGAACCAAAGAGCCACCCGGGATCTGCGTCGGATCAGAGGCTGCAAAGGTGCGATTCAGTCCAAGGCCCCGGCAGCCGCCCATTCCCAGGATTCTATCAGTGCCTCAGTCGAATCGCGGGATTGGGAAGCAGGGAATGTCCCAAGCTCCGTCAGGAATCTCTCAGGAGCCATCAGGCACCTGGGGTGGAACCATTTTACTGGTTCTGCCTCCCAGCGGTGGGGATTGTCGGATTGAAAGTCCAATCTAAGGAAGGAATAGTCGGTCCATGACAGGGGGGCAATAGACAGATCCCCCCTACCCTGGCCATTTATCCACTGCCCAGAGAGAAAAACCAGGTCAAGTGTGTGTCCACCCCTATGAGTTGGGCCCTGAACAACCTGAGTCAGGTCCATGGCCGCCATGGAGGCCATGAATTCCTGCGCCATCTCAGATGTCTCGCCGATTGATTTTGTGCTACTACTACACATTTGTGATGTCCATGGGGCACTCTGAGCTTGCTTGTTTGGTTGTAAATGTTTCATTTACACCCACAAGCTCAGAGAATGAAACTTTACCCTCCTGAGCTACAGATATTCACCACTATTGTAATGTTTCATTACCCAGCTATGTAGCACTAATGATGCTACCTAGTCAGGTTATAAAATGTCTGGGGGGGAAAGTTCAGAGGACTCCACAGTTCAATCCTTAGTTATGTATATTCTCTTCTATTGGTATTTCACATTTCAGTTTAGTTGCCAGTTCAGAAAAATAAAGCTCTCTCTAAAAATTACATTTTATTTTGGAGATACAACCATAAAAACTCTGAATGCCAAATTTGCTGATTAATTCTTCAGAATATTTACATTGCAAATGCCAAAATTTTACAATATTCTTTTGTAAAAGTTACTGCTTCTGTTGTTAAAAAAAACCAGAACCTTATAGAAAAATGTCAAATTGTGTTATTGTTATGTCTTTACTTTCCAATTCGAAAACTCAATTAGTGATTTTTTTTAAAAAAAATGTAATAAATTGGCAGTAGAATAAGCAGCCAAATTTCACTGAACAGATGTCAAATAGCCTTTAGCATCACACTAGTTAGCATGCTAAAATTGCGTGTCATGGATTGAATGCATTAGCCGAAGTGTTAACCTGCTTTGATTTAATTGTTTGTTGACAATTGATTTCCTAGTGCCAGCTATAAGCAACAAATCACAGATGCTTGTTCAAAAAAAAACAAAAAAACAAAAAAACCAACCCACAATTATTCACAGTTCTTACATGAATACATAACTCTGCTTTATAATGAGTCTATGCTATACATTGATCCACTTAGTATTTTGTATATTATAGCAGGCAAGAGCTCTTGGAATATTAGAGACAAGAGATGACAAATAATGGTTATAAATGAGCAGCCTGCCCGCCCCCCAAAATAAAAAATAAAAATGCATAATATATTCTATCCTGACCCTTTATAAAACCCAATAATAAGACTGATTTAATTTGGGCTATGATTTATTCTCATTCAACGTTTCCCAACTATTCCACATTAGTAGCTCCATCCAATCTGATCTACAACTTGCAACAAATATAACCAGAAATGTTTGGACTCTGCACACTGGGCACTTTTGGGGATATCCATTTGCTCACATTAATTGAACCAAGAATGTGTGCCTTTCTGGCCTTTCTCACAACACCAAGGGTCCAATATTGGTTGCAAACAGTTGCCTTGCCTTCCTCTCTAATAAATGGAAAAATCGAGGCATTTTTTTCCCCTTTAAATCATGCTATCTATGGAGATTCTCAATCATCCAAGGTCATGGTTGTCCCGAAGGTGCTGTTCATAAGGCAACTGAACTTTCTTGGTTTTTTTTTTTTCCCTTGAAAACATTTTACTTCTCATCCAAGAAGCTTCTTTGGTTCATGTTATTTCCAGTTTTGCCAGGAATGCCTTGCTGCACGTCATCAAAATCTAAACTCGCAAAAATGTTCAATTTCTTCTTGCCTCATATAAAAGGTAAAGGTTCCCCTCACACATATATGCTAGTCGTTCCTGACTCTAGGGGGCGGTGCTCATCTCCATTTCAAAGCCAAAGAGCCAGCGCTGTCCGAAGACATCTCCGTGGTCATGTGGCCGGCATGACTAAACGCCAAAGGCACAGGGAACGCTATTACCTTCCCACCAAAGGTAGTCCCTATTTTTCTACTTGCATTTTTACATGTTTTCGAACTGCTAGGTTGGCAGAAGCTGAGACAAATAACGGGAGCTCACCCTATTAAGCGACACTAGGGATTTGAACCGCTGAACTGCTGACCTTTCAATTTACAATCTCAGCGTCTTAGCCACTGAACCACTGTGTCTCATATACACTATACGTATACTCATAGTCTCAAATACAGTATACATATACTTAAGTCTCATATACAGTATAGCAATAGCAATTAGGCTTATATACCACTTTATAGTGCTTTGCAGCCCTCTCTAAGTGATTTACAGAGTCAGCTTATTGCCCCCAAGTATATTCATGTTTTTAAAATATCTCCTTAATGTTAAAAGTTTAATGAATTGGGCTAAAATGAAATGTTGTTTTCATGACTTATGGTTTAAACTGTTAGCATTTTTTTCTTAAGTTTAACAGATGTTATTTTTCAGTTAACTCCACCGATTAACATAAAATAACCATTTTGATTCTATTGATTCATTTTCAAAATGATTAGATCTGAAGAAATGATAAATTGATTCTTAAATATTCTTGTAGACAATGCTGAAATATATCATGTGAAGCCTAGTGGGTATTTTGAAGATTATTTCAAGAATTCTAAGAGCTGTGCTAGTCTTTTTTTCCTTGAACGTCCATTATAGAGTTGCACAAGCTCTCTATAAATAGCATTTGTGTTTGTCAACTTTCACAGTTTTCACTGCAGCCTAGGGCAGTTTCTTTTCAACTTCCAGTCCAAGCCTCTTTGAACATTGCTTTATCTTTTATCTCATGTGATAAAAATATTTAAATTATAGAAACAAAGCTAACAATGTTCATCATACTGACCAACTAACTGGGCTTTTTTAATGAAGAAATACATTTGCAACTTAAATCCTTCAGTATATTAGAATTGTGGTTGAACTGTTGTAGGTCCCATTGATATTTCTGGCCTCATTATTATTCCTAACTAATATCAAAGAAAATTTGGCCTGAGTATAGAATATAAGAAAGAAAACTGGATATAGAAAGAAGAGGTTTCTTTGCTTTTCCCAAAGCCACTAATTTATTTATTTATACAAAAGTATTAGTTTTCCTTATTCTCACTCCTAAAAAACATTAATATTATTTAAAAGGGAGGAAAAATGCATACAGGGAATTCCTAAATCAAGGCTCCTAGCTCAGTTTTAGACAGGTTATTTATTGAAATATGTATACATTTTAAAAATAATTTCCTATTGATGAAAACAGGGCACAGAATGCTATATCTTTCTCCACCTTGTGATGCACAACTGCAGCAAACTGGGGGTTTGTATGTATTGAGTACTTTATAATCCAAATGGGGACATTTTGCCAATTTGCTAATAAGGAGCTCTCCATTTGTGGGCCTTAAGAATAAGGGGGGAGGGAAGTAGCCCAAAAGCTCATCCCCATTGGACTGTCACTGTTCATGACAGCCTTCATTGAAATAATGAGGGGGAAAAACATATTTTTCCCCTCATTGTTTACTTCACATATACTTCACATATTCCCTGTGATTCTCTCTCCTCACATTCCTTTGTTTTGTTCTCCCACAACCAGTGATTGGATTCAGCCGGTTCGGGTTGGTTCGGGCGAACCAGTAGTTAAATTGCTGGCTGGCTCCACCCCACCCACCCCTTCCAGGAGTCCCCATTTGTCCAATTTTGGCTCCCAGGTTAGTGCAGGGAAGCCTCCTAGGCCCAAAACGGGGTGTGAGGGGATGTGGCACGGCCCCTCATGACCCATTTTCAATCCCAGGAGGCTGCAGGAAGGCCTACTAGGCCCAAAACGGGGCACGCGGGGTGGTGTATCCCCCCCATGGCCCATTTTTTCTTTCAGGGGGGTTCAGGAGGCCAAATGCTGCCTGTCACACCCCCTGGTCATGCCCACAATGGCCACACCCACCTAGCCAATCATTAGGGCAGAGAATTGGTTGTTAAATTATTTGAATCCCACCACTGCCCACAACCCAACATTAAATCAAGCTAGCCAATCAGAGAGGAGAGAAAAGTCCTTACTGGCAATAGACAGAAATTCTTCTCCTTCGCAGCCAACAACGTAGTCTTTATGCAGCCTGTCAAAAACCTTCATGGCCAATTTGTTGACTCTTCAGTCATAAGCTATGAGAGATAGAATAAGACAAATCTATGTTAGTCTGAAAAAAGAAAGACTTTCCTTTTTCATTCTGTTCATCTGGAACCAAGTTAACTGAGAAAGAAGAAAGCAATTAGTAACAATACATGAGCTGGTCTAGCTTAGGTCTTTCCCTTCTCTGTAGCAGCCCTTACCTGAGATAAAGGTGTAACTTTTGAAACACCTGCCTTAACATCTTCTCTGTAGTCCTGCTGTGGCTTATGGATTCTGCCAAAACCTGATTGGGGATCTTGATAAAAGCTAAATTGAATTTCACCTTTAAATTTAATGGAAATTTGGTTCAATAAAACTGGTTGATCACCTCTTCTTCATTTATCTGACATGCAGTATTCTTAGTTGTGGGTTAACAGAGTCATAAAAGTAATATAATTCCAAGTTACCATGCAATACTTAGCCTTCTATTAGCCTCTGGACTCTAACAATATTAAGAGGTGGATGGTTCAGTCCCCTTTTTTTCATATTCAAATTTTCAAACAACCCACTCAAGAAGCTGATAGAAATGTCATAGGGAAGATACAACTTTAATACTAACAAGAGTGTCAATTAGGTAGGATAATAAATAATAGCAAACCTGTCTCTCTTCAAGACATTAAAATAACATTTATTTATAAAATTCCCTCCCACTGACAAATTTATAAACTAAGTAAGGTGATGCAAATTAACTGTGAATGTTAATAATTACCCTGGTGGCAAACACTAGGCAAAATATATATATATATAATCTATGATAGGTTCTGAAAAGTGTGCATGCATGGCTAAGTGTATAATCAAATTAATGCTTTGTTGAGCTTTAACAATTTAAATATAGAATTTAAATATAGAATGTTCTAGGAACTCCCCCACATATACACAAACATTGGTTTTCATCGAAGAATGTTTGAAAGTTCTGAATTCCCTTCATTAATTCTGCAGTACAATAACATTAAAATTTCTCACAGTGTTTGTTTTCAATATTTATATATATTGCTTCTCAGTTTCAATTTCTTATGTCATCATTATCTCTTAGTTAAAATAATGCTGCATGATTGGGAGCATTTTTTAAGCCAGAAAAGGAGAGGAGAAAAGTAGCAAGTTGAAGAAAAGCAGTTGAAGTAATAAAATAAACAAGAGCGCTAGTTTATGAATTTGTAATAGACTGTTGCATGAATAATTGCTGTTAGCTCATACAAGCGAGAGGCGCATTGGGAGCCTAGAGGTTTGTAAAGATAAAAGTCAGTCCAGACTGGAGTGCCCTATAAATAAATAAATTCCTAGGGTGCAACAACAACTTAGCTGACTGTTTTAACATCTTATGAGAATTGTTATTGCATTATTGTTATTAATATTATAATATGCAGTGTGGATGTATGTGCACGCACCTGTATAATTAGGACTTGTGTAGAGGCACCATTGTACCCTCAAGCATTTCTTCAGTGACCACTAGATTTCTGCCCTTTATGATATCTTGGTAGAAATTGTTATAAAGAAGGAGAACACACAAAATGAAGCACTGGCCTCTTTTAGCAAGTTTTTGTGGCTGAGAGTGGACTCTCATTTGAGCATCTTAAACCTTACATGTTCAGTCATCATTTTAAAGATATTTCCTCATCTAAAAAGAGAAACAGAATGGCCAACTGTGGGCAAAATGAGTGACTTCTGACTTTCTGCCAGCTTCCCCATTGTTGGAAGCTTGCAGAGTGCACTGGAAATCTTTCCTTTCCTTTCCTTTCCTTTCCTTTCCTTTCCTTTCCTTTCCTTCCTTTTCTTTCCCTTCCCTTCCCTTCCCTTCCCGTAGAAAAGGGAGAGGCACATGAGAAAAAAAAAGAGAACAAAATTATCAAAATCTGGTTGTTTGCCTTTTTCTTTTTCTTTTGACAGTCTCAAAACAAAAGTTAATATCCCTAGAGTTGAAGATGAAGAGTGATATGGATCAGTGGGCTGGGAAAAAAAGAACACAAAGTGAAATGTTTGAATAGCATTTCATCTTTGGGGGTACATAAATAGTTAATTGACTAAGCATCAGCTGACAAAATAAAATCTCCAGAGGTGTTAGGTTTTATGACAGCCAGAAATTCAATACCTCATCTGCTTTTTTCTACAGGAGCTATGCAGCAACTTCTAACTAAAACAAAAGTGAATTAGGGAGATCAGGTAGATCTTTTCTTCCTTAAATAAACCAGTAATAGATTTATTCAGTAAGAATATTACTTTCATATGAGAGAGAGATCAGGGAACCTAGGCAATTTTAAAATTAATTTAATTCATTTAATATGACAGATGAGGTAGAAGAGAAGGTGCTAGAAGATGTATTCTTCAGGCCTGCAACTTCAGATTCAACCTCTGTTACAAGGAACAATTTGAAACAATGTAAGAGCTTTTTCTGAGGCCCTGATTAATATATAATATGGTTCACATAGACATATATATAATCAAATATATGGCCTACATTTCCCATATTTGCAATCTTGGAGTATCCTTTGACTATGATTGTTGAAAATGGACTATTCAGCATTCCCTCCATCCTATCTGAGTCATGAAAAGCCTTCCGCAAGCTTCCCTTAAAGGATGTGCAATGAAGCCATCCCATTTTTCAGTCCTTCCCTCAAAAAGAAATATTATGCCACCCAGAGTTACTTTGAGGTAAGATGGGTGGCCTATAAATGTATAGATAAATAAATAATTAAATAGATAGATAGATAGATGATAGATAGAAAGATAGATAGATAGATAGATAGATAGATAGATAGATAGATAGATAGATAGATACCGTGTTTCCCTAAAACTAGGACCTGTCCGGATAATAAGCCCAATTGGGCTTTCGAGCACATGCGCTAAAATACCCCCCTGAAAATACCCCCCCCCAATACTTAGACACATACGCAGCTGCTGCGCAAACGACAGCGACGGCAGTACGTTCAGCTCCCTGAATCTGGCTTGCTGATCTCGGCTGATGAGGGGGAGTGGCAGATGGGGAGGGGTGGAGAAGCGAGACGCATGGAGCAAGACAGGGCTCCCCTTGCTGTCTCTTCTCACCCCTCGCCAGGCATGGCAGGAGCTGGAAGTCAGGTACGACACACATCTCGCTTCTCCGCCGTGTCAGCAATGAAAAACATGCCACAATTGCTGGAGGCAGCGACCTGAGCAGCACCAGCGAAGCAGATGGTCGGCGCTCTGGCACTGGTCCCTCTGCCGCAGGCTGAGTTTTAGGGGCCTCCTGCACCTCAAAAATAACAAGACCCCCGATAATAAAGCCAAGGCCATATTTCGGGGAATCAAAAGAAAATAATACCCTGTCTTATTTTGGGGGAAACAAACAAACCCCTTGGCCACTGAAAGGTGTGTAGCCCTGCCTTACCAAAGTTGTACTTTATGACACATTTTTTTTAGGGAAGCCTTTGGTTTCTTTTTCTGTCTCTGAAAGACCTTCTGGTGACTTCTGGAATAACTGTAAAATATAACCGTATTCTTTCATTAATTTCCTGTACCTTAAAAGAGATAATAATCACAATAATGTTATCTGAGGAAAATAAAGCCTGGAAAAACATTTGCTTTACACTTAATGCCAATAGCAGTATATGGTGAGATGCCTTATCATTGTTCTTATAGTGAGGTGATTTTATTTGATTAGGGGGTTGGACTAGAATACCTCCAAGGTTCCTTCCAACTCTGTTATTCTGTTCTTTCAAAGTAACTTACTGTTTTGTTTTGTCTTATTTGCAAATTCTGTTTCAAAATACGTATTGATTTCAGCAACTCTTAATGAGAATGTCATATATATTCAATTAGCTCTATTCACAAGTATTCTTAATAATATAACTTACTTCTGTGGTCTTATTAATGATCTCTCATGTATATTTGTGCATGTTAATCTTTCTGACATTAAGAGCTTGGAACCAATAATTGTGTCTGGCCAAGGTAATTTAAAATAAAAGAGCAAAATCTATTGTTGGGATAAGAGCCTTGGTGGCGCAGCAGACTAAAAGTCCTGTTAAGTAGCACCAGCTGCCTGCAATTACTGCAAGTTCGAATCTCACCAGGCTCAAGGTTGACTCAGCCTTCCATCCTTTCGAGGTAGGTAAAATGAGGACCCGTATTGTTGGGGCAATAAGCTGACTTTATATAAAAAAGAATACCGCTTAGGGGGAGCCAAAAGCCCTACTAAGCAGGTATATACCTTGGTAGCCTTGGTAGAGCCTTGGTAGTACAGTGGTCTAAAGCACCCTGTTATTAAGACCAGCTGCCTGCAATTACTGCAGGTTCGAATCTTGCCAGGCTCAAGGTTGACTCAGCCTCCCACCCTTTCTAAGGTAGGTAAATTGAGGACCCAGTTGTGGGGGCAATAAGCTGACTTTGTATAAATATACAAAAGGATGAAGGCTATTGCTTAGCACATTGTAAGCCACCCTGAGTCTCCGGAGAAGGGCGGCATATAAATCAAATTAATATATATACACACAAAAGTATGAAGGCTATTGCTTAACGCATTGTAAGCCGCCCTGAGTCTCTGGAGAAGGGCGGCATATAAATCGAACCAATAAATAATATAATATAATATAATATAAATAATAATATAATATATAATATAATAATAATATAATATAATATAATATAATATAATATAATATAATATAATATCCAGTTTCCTGAATGGCTTTTCATATTTCATAGTTTGGATTTAGAAGAAAAATAAAGATTAAAAAAATGACACTTTTCACTAAGCAAATGTTGATATCAAAAGAGTTGTCATTTTGAGGTGTCTCGTCCTCTTTTTCTCGGTTTAATTATTTACTGCTTCAGAGTAAAGAAGCATTTCTGCACCAAACAGGCACTTTCCACTCTGAATGAAATGTGATTTATTCATGATCGAAGATGGAGCCGTGTCACAAAGCAAAGAGGAGCCAAGAACATGGAAATTAGTTCCTTGTTTCTGAATGAAGATCATCCTATTAAAAATGATAATATATGCACCACTGTAATAACTAGGGAACTGCCTTGAGAACCAGGCTAATCCATATTTATAAAGCTGCTTCTACTTTTCTGTTATGTATTTAATGAACATTTGAATTATATAAAATTACTCTGCAATGCCCAAATTCTTGACAGTTGCATCTGTATTTTTATTGTTATTTATACATTGCAATCAATACGCCAATTTAGAAAATATAAGATGGTAAATCACTAGGCTTTGTTGGAATGTTTTCCTTATATGTTACAATACGTTTAAATTAAGGGCTGATGAAATATTGTATAGGCAGTGGTAAAGCAGTTGTATAGAAGGAAAAAGCTGGCTAGAAACAAATGTGCATATCAAATGTGCATATCAAGTAAAAAAAGACATATATGCATACAAAAACATGTGTAATAAAAACAAAATGCCCATTTAAGGAGCCATCTGTTTTGACTCTAGATAAAGAAACATTTGTTTGCAATAAGCTAAAATAGTCAATTCTATTAATAACAGTTGGCTAAATCTTTAAGCTACAATCCTGTAAAAAGGGAGGTAGACGAGCAGGCCATCAGAATCACTATGTTGACAACTGGATTGAATAAATATATAGGTAGTCCTTAACTTACAACAGTTTGTTTAGTGACCATTCAAAGTTACAACAGCACTGAAAAATGTGACTTATGACCGTTTTTCACAGTTATGACCTTTGCAGCATCCCCATGACCATGTAATCAAAATTCAGATGCTTGGCAACTGGTTCACATTGATGACCATTGCAATATCCAAAAGTCACATGATCACTTTTTACGACCTTCTCACAAGCAAAGTCAATGGGAAAGCCAGATTCGCTTAACAACCAGGTTACTAACTGCAGTGATTCACTTAATAACTGTGGCAATAAGGTCGTAAAACAGGGCAAAATTCACTTAACAAATGTCTCACTTAACGACAGAAATTTGTGGCTCAATTGTGTTTGAAAGTTGAGGACTACCAGTTATTTCTTTGACTTCCGCTATCCTCTGGCATGTTTTATTGGATTTGTGTTTGGCACAAGCTGCAGTGCCTGAGTGGCATAGGAGGCTAATGCCTCCTAAGGCAGCATTTAACATCCAGCTGCCTGCAATTACTGCAAGTTCAATTCTCCCCAGGCTCAAGATCGACTCAGCCTTCCATCCTTTCTAAGGTGGGTAAATTGTGGACCCAGTTTGTGGGGGCAATAAGCTGACTTTGTATAAATATACAAAAGTATGAAGGCTATTGCTTAACGTATTGTAAGCCGCCCTGAGTCTCCGGAGTAGGGCGGCATATGAATCAAATTTAAAAATAAAATAAAAAATCCATTCAGTTTGTTCCTTAACAGAACAGAACAACAGTGTTAGAAGGGACCTTGGAGGTCTTCTAGTCCAACCTCTTGCTCAGGCAGAAAACCCTATAAACCCAGTAAAAATGTGTGTGTGTGTGTGTGTGTGTGGGCCTTCCCCAATGGGCAGCAGAGTGTTTGCTGGCTGCCAGAAAAAAAGCCTAGAAACTAGTGGATTGTGATTTCACTGAACTAGGGCTGCATAAAAATCTTGGTTTACGTAGGAAGAACCTGGCTAAAGATATAGATATATAGATATATAGATATATCTATGAGAGAGAGAGAGAGAGAGAGAGAGAGGGAGGGAGGGAGGGAGGGAGGGAGAAAGAGAGGGAGAGCAACTTGTAGTCCCAGGCAACCTGTGGTTTTAGTGGAGTTCCAGAGAGAGTTTAAAGACCCTGAGGGTCTTGTGGGCATTTTAGTTGAGGGTTTAGTTGCAGCCCAGAATAGGCAGGGGATGGAGGCTTTGGGATGAATTGCTCCTATGCTGCCCCTTACTAAGCATCAATACTAGGGTGCCTCTTGGTTTCCCAAGGAGCAGCAGAAGTAAAGGGCCTGAAGAGACCCATGGAGCACCATAGGAGGAAGGTGAAGAACAAATCTGACTAGACAAGAATGAGAAGCATATCTGGGATCATCCCACGGCAATAAGAATAGCAAAATGTACTCATTTCTTCATACTTATTGCTTCCACCATAACTAACGGATGATAGATAGATGATAGATAGATAGATAGATAGATAGATAGATAGATAGATAGATAGATAGATAGATAGGAAGGATGGATGGAAAGACAGACGGATAAACAGACAGACAGACAACTTTGACATTTTTTTACTGTGGGCACACTGGCACACATTAAAAATGAAATTTTGTTGCCTGCTGTCAAAAATGTACACATACATAACACACATATATACATGCTATACACATACATATATACATATACATATATATGTTTTCTGAGGTTTTCGCGGGTGTTTGTATGTAGGTCTTTGGTTATTCGGGTTTTCTGCCGCGTAAAATCCAATTTTATGTGGGGGGAAACCCGAATAACCAAAGACCTACATACACACACATATACATACATACATACATACATACATACATACATACATACATACATATATATATATATATATATATATATATATACACACACACACACATATATGTATGTATGTATGTGTATATTAATCATTGTCCATATTGAATACATATCAAAAAAAGGAAACTTGAGAGTTCACAAGGTTGATACTATATAGAACTAAACTGTGACTGAATCTGGATGTTCTGCTTTAGATACCACAAAGCCTCCTCCCAGAAGGTAACAAGGAAAACAGGTTGTGAAGAGGATGTGCAGAGTTCCAGACAATACTATGGACCCTGGTCATGCATTGTTTATATGCTATGTCCTGGATAGGCGGAAGTCAACTGCCAATAATCTTGTCTGCCATCTGCACCACTCTCTGCACTGCTTCCAAACTGATAGCCCTGCTTAAAATCTCCTTGCTCGGGAGGGGCAAGCCATGGAGTCATTTTGCAAGGTTGCTATGAGGAATATTCTATTTTTTTAGTGGATAAAGTTGCTTGTATATGCTTTGAGTGAACTCTAGAATGGAGAGACCTGAGATATGGTTTTGGGCAGTGGTGGGATTCAAGTAATTTAACAACCGGTTCTCTGCCCTAATGATTTCTTCCAAGAACCAGTTTGCCAAACTGCTCAGAAAGTTAACAACCGGTTCTCCCGAAGTGGTGCGAACTGGTTTTGGAGAATTACTAAGGAAGTGAACCAAACTCATCTAGCCAGATTTTTGTTTAGATCCATGTCTTTCCTGCGTTGGTAAGGAAGTAACCTAGGAAGTAACATATAGCTAGATCCATGTGGTCAGTGGTGGGATTCAGCCAGTTCGCACCACTTCGGGAGAACCGGTTGTTAACTTTCTGAGCAGTTTGGCAAACTGGTTATTGGTAGAAATCATTAGGGCAGAGAACCGGTTGTTAAATTACTTGAATCCCACCACTGCATGTGGTGGTTTCAGCCTTTTCGAGGAAGGTGGAGATCCTCCAGTCTTGAAGGAGGCAATTCTGTATGCCCACAGTCTGTTGTTGTTCTTAGTCATGAAGTCATGTCCAACCCATCGTGACCCCATGGACAACGTTCCTCCAGGCCTTCTTGTCCTCTACCATCCTCTGGAGTCCATTTAAGCTCACATCTACTGCTTCAGTGACTCCATCCAGCCACCTCATTCTCTGTTGTCCCCTTCTTCTTTTGCCCTCAATCTTTTCCAGCATTAGGCTCTTCTCCAGTGAGGTGGCCAAAGTATTTGAGTTTCATCTTCAGAATCTGGTCTTCTAAAGAGCAGTCTGGGTTAATCTCCTCTAGGACTGACCAGTTTGATCGCCTTGCAGTCCAAGGGACTCACAGGAGTCTTCTCCAGCACCATAGTTCAAAGGCCTCAATTCTTTGGTGCTCAGCCTTCCTTATGGCCCACATCTAGCACCCCTTAAAATACTACTGCTGCCAATAAATAAATATTAATAAAAATTAAAACAGAGTGCCCTAGTAAGGAAGACAAAATTCTTTGTGCTCAACAACTAGGGCATGGATGGAGGCTTCTGCAGCCTTATATCTTCAGTTAATTTATTTATAAGTTGCTATAAGAAGAAATTGAGTCAGAGGAAATTGCTGTAAATAAGCACTTAAGTTGTTGCAAATAAACACAGCTTAATCCTGAGGTGCCTTACCTTGTTCATGTTTCCTCCATAAAGGCTATTTCAGTATTGAAGAGCATGCAGAATAATACTTTTCAGCCATGGTTTCATAATGAAGTCCATAAAGTAAATTTCTAGCTACCAGTGACAGAAGAAAGGACACGGGGTGATATTTATTTATTAAATACTCACCATAGCAAATATGGGTGTCTTATATGGCTTTCGTGAAAGCAAATTTGTATCTCCCAATGTGCAAGCAAAGAACAAGAAGCAGTGGCTTTACTTTTCTTTTTGTCTTTTAAGTATTTTTTAAAGACCCAAAACAGGGGTGAAATCCAGAGGTTCTGACAGGTTCTGGAGAACTGGTAGCACAAATTGTGAGTAGTTTGGAGAACTGGCAAATACCACCTCTGGCTGGCCCCAGAGTGGGGTGGGAATGGAGATTTTGCAGTATCCTTTCCCTGCCATGCCCACCAAGCCACACCCACAGAACCAGTAGTAAAAAAAATTGGATTTCACAACTGACCCAAAACATGTATTATGTGTCAGTCAGTCAATTAAAGGACTCTCTAAAAAGTCCTATGCATGTCAAAGTAACTCATACTGAGTAATTCCTATTGAGAGATAATTCCTATTGATTTCAATGGCATCTGCTTCTAAGTAAGTCTATCTTGTGCACAAGAAAGACTGAATGATTACTGGTATCTAAAGAAAGTGTCATAAAATTGTTCCTGGAAGCTACAGCATATAGGTATGACAGAGAAAGTATCTGCATACCAAAAAATGTACATAAAATCAAAGCAGTGGAGATGCACAAATAGTGTTTCCAAATGTACTGTAATTCAAAGCCACTTACTGCAGAGTGAATTCCTTTGCCTTTAATGGGGGCATCTTAGGCCAATGCATTTGCCAGAAAAGATTTTATTTTGATGTGCAAGAGGTTCAGCCTTCCTCCAGATAATTTCACATCTTAGTTCATGTTAAAAAGAGGGGGAGAAGAGACTGTGAGCTCACTTAAGCATGCATTTATCTTCCATTGCTAGAATGATAATCCAAGCATAAATTTCTGTCATGTTTAGCTACTAGGGAATACTGGTAACCGAAAAGTTGTTTCAAAATGCACTATTTGCTTTTCAATGTACTTCATTTCCAGAGGTGGGGAAATAAGAAGCTAGGAGATTGCAGTAATTATTCAATTAATAGTTGCTATTTCAACTAGGGAATCCCGATTTATGAGCAATGCTTCCTTCAAGATGTTGCTTTAATTTGACATAGAAGCCTTGTTTTTTTTTCCCCAAGGCTCAGTTGTTTAATTAAATATAAACCTTCCTCTAACTCTTCAATAGTTTCCTTCTTGCAAAATTACTACTGGAATCACATGACTTGAGACAATGCAGAAAACAGCATGGCTGTGAAAGTTTGTCCCCATTGATTGACCAATCCATAATCTACTAATTGAATGACCACTTAAAATCATGAAATCTCTAGTGAATTTGGTTAACAGAGAAGTTTACGCAGGGGTGAAATCCAGCAGGTTTTGACAGGTTCTGGAGAACCGGTAGCAGAAATTTTGAGCAGTTCGGAGAACCGGTAGCGGAAATTTTGAGTAGTTCAGAGAACCGGCAAATACCACTCTGGCTGGCCCCAGAGTGGGGTGGGAATGGAGATTTTGCAGTATCCTTCCCCTGCTACGCACACCAAGCCATGCCCACCAAACCACACCACGCCCACCAAGCGATGCCCACAGAACCGGTAGTAAAAAATATTCGGATTTCACCACTGAGTTCATGTCCATATTTCTCCCCCCTCCCCCAAATCATCTGTCTGAGTTTCTGAACTAGAAATTTTCTAGGTTTCAATTTTTGATATGTTTATACTGTCAATACTAACTTTGACTGGAATTTTTCCGGAACTAAAGAATTTGTCCAGAATAATGGAAGCTATAACATTCTTAGTTTTATGATGTACACTGCCCTGAGCCACTTCTTAAGATGAGCAGCTATAGAAATCAAAATAAAATAAAATAAGTAATGCTTCTTTAAAACATATGTTACAATGTTTTATACTTACTATGTTTTGGGAGAAAGTACTTGATTATATAAATATAGTTCTATGACCAAAATTGGTCCCAAATCATGAAGGTAACAATCAACACCTCGAAATGCACCTGGAAAAATGCCTGTTACCATCCAGCTCATACAATAGTGGTGTTACATGTGTTAAATTTCTGACATTGTTCCACAAGACTGGGTAACAGCAGAAAAGCCACATTTCCATTCACCACACCTTTAGCTCAGGGGTGGGTTCTAAAACTTTTTACTACCGGTTCTGTGGGCGTGGCTTGTTTTATGGGCATGGCTATATGGTCATGTGACAATTCTTTAGGCTTTAGTAGAGGTACTGGTCTACCAGGCTTTTAACTGCTTGCAGAACTGTACCGGTCTACCCATTTATTTTTGCTGGCACTGGTCTACTCATTTGTTTTTGGAGGCATCGGTCTACCACCAAACTGCCTTTTATCACTGATCAGCTATAGGACTCAGGAGGCAACAATAGATTGGGAATGGGGCCAAATAAAAGGTAAGAATAACGCGGTGGGGGGGGCACAGAACCGGTTCAGTGATGTCATATTGGAACTGGGCCGAACCAGGAGGAACCCACCACTGCTTTAGCTTCATGAAAGATGCAACCCACTTTAATGACTTTAGGAAAAAGATTTACCTGGAGCAGATGATATTGGGTAAATATGTATACAGTATATGCTACCTTGAGTTCCAGAGTGGTCTTAAGGTTTTCTGATGTATAGGTTCTTATCTATTTTATTTATTGATTTATGTATAGAAGTTGACATCCCAGGATAAACACATGTTAAAAAGATGCACATGAACAAATAAATGGAAAGTTGTGGCTTGTGTGGAGCCACTTCAGTTGTATCAATAATATCCTCATCTACGTTTCAGGAAGAGGAAAACATGGCAAAGTCAAAGAAGCACCTAGGAATGTAACTCAGGAAGCCTCATAATTGATCCAAGTTTCAAGCAGCCGAGAACATGAATTTAAGCATAGTTAAACAGTTTGTGGAGTTCCAGCTGTTGTTAGCTTAACAACTTCCTGTTGCTTTAATCGTGAAAGGTGATCTTGATGGGAGTTGAAATTTAACAATCTGCACCCGTAGATTAACTACACAAATTAATCCAGATAGCAGAAAATGGCCAAATATTTAGAATTACATCCCTTTAACTATGCGTACTTGTTAAGGCATAGCACTAAAAATGTTCTCTTTATCACAGTGTGCAAATTCCACCAAGTTATTTTATTACTGAAGGGAGAAAATTTATCCTGTGCTTCTCCTCCTTTCTGACTGCAAAAATACCTTGCCTATGAACTAACTAACCATTTATTCTTTCTTTGTGTGTAGGTGCAGCCATAGCAGACCCTTGGGCTTGCATATAGGAATAGACTATTAAACAGATCAGTCTTGAAGATGGTTCAACTTGTTCAGCATACTAATTTGAAGTCTATTAAATAGTTAGGACAACTTACATTTCTGTAGAATTCTGGATAGTACTTGTGCCTTGGGGCTACTCAGATTCTGTACCATCAGCTCTTGTACAACTCTACTTGTATGAACTTTGGGGGCACTAAAGGTCAGGGTTTCTTCTTGTAACTCATGGCCATCATTATGTCTAAGCATGTAGGTAGAGATTTTGACTTTAGTCTCTTAGATTAATAGAATCCTTGCTGAGAACCAAGGTTTTACATTCACCAATTCACAAAAGGTAATTTGGATGATTTATATCAATAGGAAGGTAAATCTGTTCTTCTAAATAGCCAATTAAACAGAGATTAAGAAACCTGCTTCTGTTTCAGCAGAGGAAAGCATCTTGCCAATCCTGTGCTTTGAAACTAACTGATTAAGCAGCCGATTTAATGACACAATGAAAATATTTAACAAATGAAAATGAATTTTGTCTGGAATGGAAAGCTATTAAATATGGTGCAAAATATGGTGGAAGTAATTGTTTTCTCCAGATTAATTTCTGAAATAACCACCAGGCTATCTCACACCTATGGAGATGGCAAGGGAGACACTCTTCTTAATGTCATGGGTAAATCTTTGGGATGGGACAAGTGTCAAATCTGCTCAAAGAAAACAGTAACATAACTAAATATCTTCACAAAGCCCCATTGATTCAACTTTCAACACCTGCTTTTAACTATCTCAGAGCATCAAGCAAGAGTTCCGCTAAATTGAGGGAGCTGAGTGGTTTAAAAAAAATGAAATATAAATACATATATTTCTATCGCTCTCCTTTTCTGAATAAAGGTAGTATCTTTACATAGTTGAGAGCCCACTAAAGTAGTCAAGAAAAGCTCAAAAACTAAAAACAAATAGAAAAGGCCTCTATGTTGTAGGTACATTTATAGTTTGTAGTTTACTTTATTGTCATTGCACATGATACAATGAAATTAAATGCTGTTTTCAGTGTATATTATAACTATAAAAAAAAACATATACATCCTTTACATTCTATATAATTGAAATTGAAAACCCGATATTGCACTATACCATATAATTCAATATGGTTATTGCCCTGTGATAGAAGCTGCTTTTCAGCCTATTTGTCCTTGTTTTTATTGATCTGTACTGTCTGCCAGATGGTAATAGTTCAAAAAAAGGATCTTTAAGAATGTTTTGAACTTTCTTAAGGCAGTGGGAGCTATAAAGCTCTTCCAAGGAGGGGAGAGGGCAAACAATGATCCTCTGGGCAATGATGTTGACCCTCTGGAGTGCTGTCCTATCTGCCACTGTGCAATTGGCAAAACATACACAGATGCAGTAAGTTAAAATACTCTCTATGGTGCAGCGGTAGAAGGCCACCAGCTGTTTTTCATTCAGTTGCTGTTTCCTGTTGTGGCTCCGCCCTCCGAGCCTATCTTATCGGAGGGAGAAGGCTCTGAACATGAAGGAGAAGAGTCGGCCAGGCCTCCCTCTCCAGGCCCCTCCTCTCTGGAACTGCCTCAGGTGCCGGCCGAGGAAGAGGAGATTAGCCAGGAGCCAGGTGTCTCCAATGATAGCGATGGAGGCGATCTGTCGTTCCTGGATCCACGCCAACGGTTGCAGCAGTTGAGGAGGTGTGCCAGGGATTAGGCTGAGTCACTGGACCACACCCCAGAGACTATATAAGAGAGGGTGGTGGCTATTTAAGACTCTGTGATGGACAAAAACTAACTCTGGCTAGTCACTTTGAACAACACCTAAATCTGCAGAAGGTTTCTTGTTTTGAACTGGACTATTTGCAAACTGTGTGTATTTCTGTTTATCTGGTGAAGGGATATTAAGTAAAAGCACTTGGCAGTCGGTGCTTGTCTTGCTGCCAAGTTTCTAATAACAAACTGTGTGCGTGCCATGTGCTTCCTTTAACCCTCGGCTGGCTGTGTGTGTGTGTGTGTGTGTGTGTGTGTGTGTGTGTGTGTGTGTGTGTGTGTGGAGACGGGGACAGAACATTTCCTGAGATATCTCAGGTAGTATAATCTCTGCTGGGCCCTTTTGACCAGTGCTGCAATGTGTGTATTTACATCTGTGTTGCACTAGGATTCTAGCCTTTGTGCAAATACATCTTGTGAGCCAGTAATGTCCATTCCTAAATTATTCTATTTCACTATTCACAGTCACTCATGTAGTCACTTCCTGAGTGGACTACTGCAATGCATCCAAGGGCTGATTCTGAAAAGCATTCAGAAATCCCAGCTGGTCAAGAGATGTGACGCCAAATGCAGTGTTGGATGCACCATAGATGTCAACATAACCCTACTCTCCATGAACTAAATAGCTCCAAAGAGGCTTCTGGATGTCATTCAAGGTGCCGGTTGTCATCTTTAAAGCCCTGCATGACACGGGGCCAGGTTACTTATGGCATGCCTCTCCCTAATAGTTTCTGCTCATTCCACAAGGTCTGGCATAATGG